AATACACATGTATTGTATATGGTTATAAAAGATCATTTAAATTGAATATTTATCAAGTACTTAAATTATATTATAAGTTAATTTTTGGTGTTTCAATTCTTTTTGCTAAATAATATTTTTAACGTTACACTTTTAGTCTATAGGTTATAACGACCGATAAAAAAACTGTTATTTTTTACGTATCACACTTATATTTTTTTTAAAAATAGAAAAATTAAAATACTTATAAAAAACTGGGAAAAATTAAAATACCCTAAATCCCCATCCATCCGTGCCTTCCCTTCCCCAATCCTCCAGCCACAGTTAGCGCGGCTAATCCCCTCCATTCCCCCTGTTTGAACACGACGAACAAATTTCTTAAATCAATTAGGATTTGAAATTTGATTTTTGATATCCAAGAATTTAAGATTTTGATTTAAAGATTTAGGGATTTCGATAGCAATGCTGGGACAAAAGTAGGGAGTTTCGGTCAGTGGCAATGGATCGATAAACGATGATAGTGGAGGCAGGCGAGGAAGGAGGATTGTAATTAGAGATTTTAGGGTGTTTTGTACTTTTGTAAAATTTTAGGTTTTTTTAAAATTATAATTAGAAATTTTTAATTTAAATAAAAATTTATAAACGTGACACATTGCAATTAACGATCAAACTTAACAACCGTTACAATCTATGCACCTAAAACTATAATATTGAAAACGTTAGACACCTATTTTTCAAAAACAATTCATTAGACACCTAAAGTTAACTTTGAGTATACTTGAGACACTTATTTTTTTCATTAAGCCTAATTATTAATTGTAGACACTTATTTTCGTTCGGTTCCTAATTCAAAAATTTTTTAATTCCAAGTTATTTTCATTTTCTTTGACTTTAAATATATTTAATATTAGGCTTAAGGGTTATTTTACATCTGTAGTAGATCCAATTTATCAATTTCCCCTATCATATTTTCGCATCAATTTAACCCTCAAACTTGTTTAATTGCATCATTGTATACCCTGTCCCTAACATAAAACCCTAAATTATAAACTATAAATAAGGGTTTAGGATTTATGCTTTAGAGGTTATGGGGTTATAGTTTAGGGTTTATAATTTAGGGATTTAAGTTACGGGTAAGGTATAAAATGATGCAATTGAGTAACTTCAATGGCTAAATTGATGCGAAAATACGATATGGGTGAAAGTGATAAATTGAGTCTACTACAGGAACCAAAGTTACCCTTTGCCTTAATATTGATATACAATTAGTAAATAAATTAGATTTATTATTACAATTTATATTATAGAGATATTTAATTAATATATATAGGTATATACGTTTAGAAATTAATTATTATTAATAAATATGCATGTCCTGGGTTATCAATTTTAAGCTTATTATAGTAAAAGTTTTACAAGTTTCGGTTAGGTTTTATATATATTATAAATAGTAAATATATATCAAATATTTAAATAAAATATATATTAACTTAATCCATACAATTACAAACAAGCCCAGAAATATTACAAAGTTATACCCAAATCTAGCAAACACAAACATTGAAGTCCAAACCATTTAGAGGCCCATGTGAAATAGCCTAAAAAACCCTAAGCTTCTCTGTGATCAGCCGCCACCCAATGCAAACTGTTGGATCTAAGAGAGATCCAACTGTCCAGGATTAAAGATGAATTAGGATTGAAATCCTAATGGATCCCTTTTAGCGCCTCCAAACTTACACCATCGGATATGGAGTTATTCAACGGTTGAGATCGTGTGTCAGATTTTGGGTTTTGTAATCCTTACTTGCAACCCACTTTGGGCCGTTCGATTAGACTCGGATCAATGAATCAGATGCAAGTATGATACATTACGGTTTTGTAACCCTTCAAGAGTCGTTGTCGCCATCATCAAGTTCCAGAGACCTCCACCGTCTAATAAAGCTGACACGTACCAACACCGATCATTCGATGGAAGCCGAAGCTTCACATCAACAGGTCACCTTCCTTACGTGAGATCTTCATGCATCGGTAGGTCCCCAATTAAGCTACCCGTGCATGCCAGAAGTGGTCCATCACCAGCAACGATTTCCCTCATCATCATAAGCAACAGGACAATTGGTCCCCTCCCCCTCTAAAGAACACATAATAAAAGAGGGTGAATATCCTCTATGAAAGCGAAAATGTCAAAGACGCTCCCAACAGTGCACAATAGAAGGAAGAGGAAAAAACTTCCCCCCATATAACATGTAAAAACAAACCATATATGGGGATTCATTCGAAGAGCATCGAAAAAAGGAGAAAAAAGAAAAGAAAAACCAAACGAAAATCATACCATTGGAAGAAGGAGACCTTCTTTTGCTTCACCGAAAGTCGATGGTTAATAGGTAACTCCAAACGTTCTAGATCTAAAGTTAAGGTAGCTTATGGGGGTTGATTTAGGGGAATGTTCTTTTGGGTTTTTGGTTTCTAGAAGTTCTTTTAGGGATTCTAGGTTTTAAAATGAGATTTAGAGGCTTGTTTAGGCTATAACGAGATGTTTTTGGGTGTTCGTGGTCATTGATTTATAGTGGTCAAAGGAAGGGTTGGTTCATCTCCCACGAAAAAGAGGAAAGGATTGAGAGAAACCCTAAAATTTTCCCTTTTAGGTTAATAAATTAGAAGTGAAAAATAGAGAGATAGCCATTTTTTGCTTTGGTTTCAATGATACATACTACGTGTCAAACGACACCTTTTCAAATAGAGGGGACGGCCGTTTTTGTTGTACAACTTGTGTTTTTATGGTGCTAGATGACCCCAAATAACTTTCTTAATCTTTAAAACATGATTTTGAACAAAATTAGGGTGGTTGAGAGGGTTTTTGAGTGATTCCCGAGCCTTATTTTGGGTTTCTGAGTTGTAGTATTGATATTATTCATATAGTGTCGATACTACTCACTTCAAAGCATTTTCTAGTACATGTACCCCTGATGGAGTATCAATACTACCTGATGGAGTATCAATACTACCTAATGGAGTACCTTTACTACTTAATGGAGTATCAATACTAAGCTACATCAAAAGATTAGAAACAACTCTCGTTGCATCTGAATTTTAATATATTGCTATGAATTGTGCAACTAAACTTGAAAAATGGTCATAATTTTTTAAATGACCAAAAAACACCCTTATGTGGTATCAATTACTAAAATACCATTAATTTGTAAGAAACTTCAATAGTACCCTTAAATGGATACATAACGAATAATTGGAAATGATGAATGGTTACGAAGGATATAATTACAAGCGAGATGATGTATCATACGAATAATGTGATAGAGGAATAGTCTACCATGTGAATATCAATAAAGTGATAACATGTAAGTCATCATTGCAATTGAAGTGTGAATTGAGGGAAAGTATGATGAGAACGATGAGAGAGTCATTAACGAATAACTAACCCTGAATCAAGTATCAAGATAGAAAATAATGTATTAAGTGGGTAATGATAAAAGTTATTATCCTAAGAGCATAAAATGCTAAAGACACCCTTAGAGGTGAAAATGACCAAAACACCCTTATGTATTAATTGATCATAATAGAGTGGTCTAATAAACTAATACATAGATAGAGTCATGATTTTGGTACAAGGGGAAAGTATAATTAACAATAGAAAACTAGAGGAAAAAAACTAAAATTAATCGAAATTTAAAAGCCTAAATAAATAATTGTCCCATATTCTTTAATGCTAAAAAAATTGGGGGAGGGGTGGTGGTAGGCCCCTCATGCTCTTGCATACCTCCTTCCCTGAACTAATATATGTAAAAAAACTAATAAATCTTTACATAACATTCTAGATGTGAGAACAAACAAATAAAGTGGCGAGTGAGAGTATGATTAGGGATGGTAAACGGGTACAATTTCGTTGATTCTGTACTGTACTCGCTACAATTGGGGTGGGAATGGGTATAACTTTAGTGGGTAGTGGGCAGGTGTAAATTTAGAAAGTGGTACCCGTCGCGGGTTGTGGGCGGGTAATGGGTTTGAGACCTTACCCGCCCCACATCCGCCCTCCCACTAAATACCCATTAAATTTTGGACCATTACGAATTTAGGTATAATTTTAGAGACTAATTTATAAATCTTAATATTGTATAAGATATAACTTATAATTTAACCAAATATTAGGCATAATTTTAGAGACTAATATTATGCTTCTTAATGGACGTGTTTGTTTTATGTTTGTTGCTTATGTATAACTTAAGGTTGTTGTCAGGCGGGTCTAGCTAGGTACGTCTCCAGTTGGGTAGTGGGTGTGGGGATTGATTTGAGAATGTACCTGCGTGGGCGGGTGTGGATTTGAAAAAAAATTACCCATCATGGATGGTAGGCAGGTGGTGGATTTGAAAATATTAGGTGGGTATGGGGATAGGAGAAGGGGTATCCGCACCCGACTCGTCCGTTTTCCATCCCTAAGTATGACCTCACCCGATCTGATATTGAGCCAAATTTAAAAATAACTAATTTGATATTAATCCTACCCAAAAATTGACCTAACATGATATTAACCAAATTCGACACATGGCCCCACCTGACTTAGCATAGATCCAAACTAAATTCGAATTAGATCTAATCTGATTCTAATCAAACCTAAATCGAATATATATAGGCTAGATCCAAAATAATCCCACCTAAAATGACTTAACTCATATCTGAACCCAGTAACATGTTTGTCATTTCTAACCACTCTTACCATCATCGAAGCAAATAAGTTATGGACAACTACTTGTGGGTCTAAATGGACACTGTGCATCCATAAATAGATCTAATTCATTAGATGGATTAGAGATGGGCTTAGGGTTTAGGTGAAGAACTGCATAGTTCACTCATTTGTTCCTATATTCAACTTTGTAGAAACACTTCTTTAGTTACATGAAAGAATTGGTGTTAGATTTCTATAACAAATTATGTGTTACAAGAAGTATACTACACTTCCTAATTTAAACATCTCCCATTTCCAACAAAAAAGCAAGACAATGGGTTGCTCAGAGAACTTCAGAAATTGGTTTCAAAGCAGGAGTCCACGGCCTACAACTACCCTTCCGGCAACCATGGACGGAAAGATCCCGATCAACTCGGCTCTCTTCCTCTTCCTCCGCCGCCACATCAGGCAAAACCCTAGCACCGCCACTTTTTCTCCTCTTCTTTCCACTGCAAGCTGCTTCTATTATTGCCATATCCGTATCCGTAACTCTGCAATTCACCCTTTGCATAGGAACCAAAACGTAAACTTTACCCGCCAACAGTTCATCGTCGGCTCGCATAGCGACCACTCGGCGAGTTCGTTTCAGCTCTTCCAAGGGAGAGACGATGTGACCGGGTTCATCAAGCATGAGCTCCGCTGCCTTTGCCGTTAGCTTCACTTTCCTCAGGTTCCCTTGAGCATAGATCACTTTGGCCGTGTTATTATTAAGCCTCCAATCCTTGAAGCAACTGGTAGAAGTGAAGTTTCCCATGTCGAAGTTGAAATTCTTAAAATAACTTTGCTTTTAACTTGAATTGAAGCTGCAGACCCTAAAGAAGAAATACTCGGGAATTGGTATGGAATGTTTAATGGTTGAGACTTGAGAGTGGTGAGTGGAGGCTGATTCGGTATATATAGTAAGGGAAAGAGGAAGAGTCAAAGAGTCAATGGTAAAATACTAAAATTATGGGGCAAAAGAAGAGACGCGCACAATATGGTCCGAGTAGTGGGAATACGCGGATGCTGCTAATTCTAGAAGTGGGCAGTTGCAGCGTGGATGAGACGCAGTGTTATTGTGTGCTACTTATTATGGCTGTCGTAACCGGTTTTCGTCCGGGCACGAAATATTTATTTGGCGGGAAAAGTGATGTGAATAAATGGTTTTGAAAATAATTTGGGAGTCGCCATCGGCCTTTTGGGTCAGGTAGGTCGAATACCTAAAAATTATTTTTTTAAAAGAGTTTTAATAAAACACCAATTAAAAAATAAACTGATCTGCGTTTATAACCAAAAATTCATTCTTTTTAATAATAAAAAGGGATTCGTGGTCGGTTACGTTTAGGGAAGGATTAGCACCCCTACAACGCCCAAAATTGGTACTTTTTAATTATAAATTGTCTCTATTATTAAATTTTTAAAAATTCAAAAATATATTTAATTTATAATTCTATTATTTCAAAATTATAAAAAAAATTATTTATTTAAAAATATCCGAAAAGAACTTCTAGGTGCCTTAAGACAGCTCTTTTCTTTGATATTGATAAATATTAATTTAAATAATATTGTTTACTTTTTAATTTTAAAATATCAGAATAGAACATCCAGTTGTATTAAGACTGTCCTTTTCTTCGATATTAAAAATAAATATTTAAAAAATTACTATTTATTATATGTATATTTATGAATATATAAAAATATTTAACAATATAATAAAATAAAAATATCACTAAAACAATATATTTTAAGCAGTAAAATGAAAACATATAAATAACTAAATTATAATAAAAATAAAATTAAATATAATTCCTAATTAATTGAAATTATAGGGATTAAATATTTTATTTTTTAATTTAATAATTTAGTGACCAAAATAAAATTATTTAAAATTCGAATTTTATAATAAAATAAATTAAAAATATGAACTAGGGATTAAAAAATATTTATTAAAATTAAGGGATTAAATCTGTCATTTATCCTAAATATATTATTTTAATAAAAGGGACTAAAATGAATAAAATTAAAATTCAAAGACTGAATTAAAATTATTATAAATTCAGTTTAGTGACCAAGATATAAAATTTACAAGTTGGGAGGACTACGGACGGGATTTAACTATTTTATAATTACGCGCATAGTCCTTCCCGAAACGACGTCGTTCGGGAAGGACTATATATGGTCCAAACCCGGCTGGCCCGAAGGGCCAGCCTTCATTTTTCATTTTCCTTCTCTCTCTCTTCTCTGAGAGAGAGAGTTTTCTCTCGCTTCTCTCTAAAACAGAGAGAAGCCCAACCGGCCGGCAGCCGTTAGCCGGCGTTCATCCGCCGTCAACCACCGCCGCCGGCCACCGTCTTCGGTGGCCGGAAAAAAAAAATTTTATTCTAAATGTAGATCGGACCGTCCTAATGACGGTTCCGATGTTTTTTTTCGTTAAACGGCTCCCAATCGGAGCAAATCTAAAATAATACCTTCGGCTTTTCGAAGGTTTTGGTGAGATCCGGCGACGGTTGTGGTTCTCCGATGACAGGGTAAGCTTATTTCCTCTCTTTTCTTTTTTTTTTTTTTTCTTGCTGCGGTGATGTTGACTGAGATCGTTGGTATATTTGTTTTTTTTTCCTTTCTCTGTTTTTTTTCGTTCTCTGTCTCTGTCTCTGGTTTCTGTCTCCCTTTTTTTTTTCAGGTTCGGGTGGTGGCTTTTATAGCCACCACCGTTGTAGCCGTCGGACCGGTCCGAAGAGGGGGTCTCGGTGAGTCACCGGACTACCAGTGGTGACTCACCCCGTAGCCTTGCATGGACGGCTGGCGTTGATCTTCTGGAGTCTTCATTTGGGACGTGGCAACGGCGGAGGCGGCGAGAAAACTGTCGGCAGCCGCGTGGAAGCTGGGGCGGCGCCGCGTGGCCCTAGGGTATCAAACCCTAGGGTTTCCCTCTGGAGCCATCTGGACCGTTGGATCGTGCCAGATCCAACGGTTGTGATGAGGCGGCTGGTTTAGATTAGGGTTAGGAAACCCTAACTGGAAACCCAAATGTTTAGGGTTTCTGGTTTGATTTGGACCGGTTATGGTTGGTTTGTAACTGGGCCGGTCCAATTGTAATTGGTATGTAATTATTATTTATATATATATGTTTAATGTATATTTAATAATAATAATAATAATAATAATAATAATGATAATAATAATAATAATAATAATAATAATAATAATAATTATAATAATAATAATAATATGGATAAAAAATTAATATCTTCAGCTGCCCCTCTTTGCTCATTCTTGTGTTAACAAGAATAGGGCAAAGATGAAAAGATAATAAAATTTTTTATCCATTTTGACTTTACTTTGATCATAATGGAGATATTGAATAAATTCTTCTCTCTCTCCAGATGAGTTCTTCTCATTATGAACTTTCTGCTGGGGATGATGATGACCTCTTTTTTTTCTGTGATAGAGTCATTCAAAAGGTTGAATAAGCTTTTGATGAGTTCTTCTCATTATGAACTCTCTCTTCTTTCTTCAGATGAGTTCTTCTCATTATGAACTTTCTCTGAAAAAAATAACCCATCAAGTAATAGATTTGAGCAAAAAGGTTGAACAAATTCTTCTCATTATGAACTTCTTCTTCCTTCTTCAGATGAGTTCTTCTCATTATGAACTTTCTCTGGCAAAAATAATCCATCAAGTGATGAATTCAGACAAAAGGTTGAACAAATTCTTCTCATTATGAACTTCTTCTTCCTTCTTCAGATGAGTTCTTCTCATTATGAACTCTCTCTTCTTTCTTCAGATGATGAGTTCTTCTCATTATGAACCTTCTCTGGAAAAGCTAATCCATCAATTTGATGAATTCAAATAAAAGGTTGAACAAATTCTTCTCATTATGAACTTCTTCTTCCTTCTTCAGATGAGTTCTTCTCATTATGAACTTCTCTGGAAAAGATAATCCATCAATTTGATGAATTCAAATAAAAGGTTGAACAAATTCTTCTCATTATGAACTTCTTCTTCCTTCTTCAGATGAGTTCTTCTCATTATGAACTCTACCTGGCAATGTTGATCCATCAAATGATGAATTCAGGTAAAAGGTTGAACAAATTCTTCTCATTATGAACTTCTTCTTCCTTCTTCAGATGAGTTCTTCTCATTATGAACTTTCTCTGGAAAAGCTGCTCCATCAAGTGATGGATTTGAATCTTTGCTAAAATCTTTGAAATTCCTGTTAAAAATTCAGCATAGATGAAAATGAATGAAAATGCACCTATTTTTGTAAACACCTAAAATATGATGCATGAATGTTGAATTATTTGATTTCAGATTGGTGAATTGAGTATTTCTTCAATTGTAAAAATCCAATAGATTTTTCTTCTTCAAATGAAAGAATCTATCATCTTTGACCAATATAGATATAATGTCACAAAAATCTCTTGAGAATAAAACTCAATAGTATAGGCTCTTGAAAAGCTTGCATTCAGGTAGCATGTTGATTCTGATAACAACTCATCTGATTATGAAGTGACCTTTCAAGATGATTTCACAGATATCGATAGTTCTTCTAATACCGAGAAATCTTGAATTCTGATTCTGATGAGGAGAATAAACTGTTATACTTGACAAAAATGGGCTTCTCATGGGCTGAAACTTCAATAGCCCTGAAGAAATGTGGTCCAGATTCATCAATTGCAGAATTGGCAAATTTTATATGTGCTGCTCAAATGACTAAGGATGCTGATGCACTTCTTCGAATCAGATCAGATAACTTAAAGAACACTTCCAGAAGATACTATGAACACATTCATGTTCCGAATTCAATGATTGGTTCTGGGGTTCTTACTGAATCAGATCAGATAACTCAAAGAACACTTCCAGAAGATGCTATGAACACATTCATGTTCCGAATTCAATGATTGGTTCTGGGGTTCCTACTGAATCAGATCAGATAACTCAAAGAACACTTCCAAAAGATGCTATGAACACATTCATCTTCCAAATTCAATGATTGGTTTTGTCAAACTAGATCAGATAACTCAAAGAACACTTCCAGAAGATGCTATGAGCACATTCATCTTCCAAATTCAATGATTGGTTTCGTCAAACCAGATCAGATAACTCAAAGAACACTTCCAGAAGATGATATGAGCACATTCATCTTCCAAATTCAATGATTGGTTCTGCCAAACCAGATCAGATAACTCAAAGAACACTTCCAGAAGATGCTATGAGCACATTCATCTTCCATTTAATGTTTGGACTGGGATATCACAGTACTTATTCGATGTAAAGCCAGATTTTGTAGATTCGAAGCATTTTCATGCTGTCATACTGAAAATAGGCTATATTCATAATCTGCCAATTTAGAACAGAGTTTCTCTTATTCTGCTTCCTCCATGTGCTGATGCTTTTCCATTGACAAAGAAATGATGGCCTTCTTGGAATCCAAAAACAAAGTTGAACTGTTTATAAATATGTACAGGAGGTGTCAAATTGACAGAAAGGATCTGTAAGGTTCTTGAAGCTTATGACAATGATCCACCTTAGAGTGTCCAGAAGTATGTTCTTGATGAGTACTGAAAATGGAATCTAGTATGGGTTGGAAGGAATAAAGTTGCTTTACTTGAACCTGATGAGGTGTAAATGCTTCTAGGTTTCTTTAAAAACCATACATAAGGATCTGTATATAGACATATTTCCCAGTGATATCAATGTCTTGTTTCCTTTTGTTGGAATCAGTGCTGCAAAGATCACCTTCTATTGTCTTAGTATATTTTTTGAAAACAGATG